AGCTAAAATTTTATTGAGGATTTTTGCATCAGTGTTCATTAGGGAGATTGGCCTATAGTTTTCCTTTTTTGTGTTGTCCTTATTCGGTTTTGGTATTAGTGTAATATTGGCTTCATAGAACGTGTTTGGTATTGTCCCTTCCTTCTCAATTTTTTGGAAGAGTTTGTGAAGGATAGGCACTAATTCGTCTCTGAATGTTTGGTAGAATTCATTTGTAAATCCATCAGGTCCTGGGCTTTTGTTTTTGGGGAGGTTTTTAATTACCATTTCAATTTCGCTGCTTGTAATTGGTCTGTTTAGGTGTTCTATTTCTTCTTTATCTAGCTTTGGGTGATTGTAGAGTTGTAGGAATTTGTCCATCTCCTCTAGATTGTTGAACTTGTTTCCATATAACTGTTCATAGTAGTTACTGATTATTCTTTTGATTTCTGCTGTGTCCGTTGTGATTTCTCCTCTTTCATTTATGATCCTGTGTATTTGTGCTTTCTCCCTTTTTTCCTTTGTGAGCCTGGCTAGGGGTTTGTCTATTTTATTTATTTTTTCAAAGAACCAGCTCTTGGTTTCATTGATCTTTTGGATTGTTTTTTTAGTTTCAATTTCATTTATTTCTGCTTTGGTTTTTATTATTTCTTTTCTTCTACTGGTTTTGGGGTTTTTTTGTTGTTCTTTTTCTAGATCTTTGAGCTTCGAGATTAGGTTGTTTCTTTGAGTTCTTTCTTGTTTTTTTGATGTGAGCTTCTATTGCTATATATTTTCCTCTTATTACTGCTTTTGCTGCATCCCATACATTTAGGATATTGGTGTCCTCCTTGTCATTCAATTCAAAGAATTTTTTAATTTCTTCTTTGATCTCCTCGTTAGTCCAGTGGTCTTCCAGTAGTGTGGCTTTTAATCTCCATGAGGTAGGATAGTTCCTTGCCTTCTTTTTATGATTTATTTCTAGTTTGATGCCTTCATGGTCAGAAAAGATGGTTGGTATGATTTCAATCTTGGTGTATCTGTTGATGTTTGTCTTGTGCCCCAGTATGTGATCGATCCTGGAGAATGATCCGTGTGCGCTTGAGAAAAATGTGTACTCCGTTTTTTTTGGGTTTAGTGTTCTATAGATGTCTGTTAAGCCCAAATGCTCTAGGTCCTTATTTAGAGCTTTAGTTTCTTTACTTATTTTTTGTCTTGTTGATCTATCCATTGTTGATAGTGGTATGTTGAAGTCTCCCACTACGTATGTGTTTTCTCTGATGTCTGTTTTCAGAGAGGACAACAGTTGTCTGATATATTTTGGTGCTCTTTCGTTTGGTGAGTATATGTTAATGAGTGTTATTTCTTCTTGAAGTATTGTCCCCTTGATCATAATGTAGTGACCATTGGGGTCTCTTTTTATTTTTTTGAGTTTGAAGTCTGTTTTATCTGATATAAGTATAGCTGTTCCTGCTTTCTTTTTTGGCCCATTTGCTTGTAGGATTGTTTTCCATCCTTTGACTTTGAGCCTATTTTTATCTTTTGTAGCTAAATGTGTTTCCTGGAGACAGCAAAAGGTTGGGTTTTGTTTCTTAATCCAGGCTGCAACTCTGTGTCTTTTTATTGAAGAGTTTAGTCCATTTACATTTAGAGTTAATATTGATATGTTAGCATCTGTATTTGCCATTATGTTTGTCTTTCCTTTGATTTTATTTATTCTTTTAATAACTTTTTTTTTTTTTTGGTCTTCTTTCATTGTTATTCGTCCCTCTGAGGTTCTGACTTTAGGATTCCTTGTAGTATTTTTTGGAGTGGGGGTTTATTCGTAATGAAATTCCGGAGTTTCTCTTTGTCTGGGAAGGTCCATATTCTTTCTTCATGGAGGAAAGAGAGCTTTGCGGGATAGAGTATTCTTGGTTGGCATCTGTTTTCTTGGAGTCTGTTGACTATGTCCCTCCACTCTCTCCTTGCCCGTAGTGTTTCTTCAGAGAAGTCTGATGTCAGCCTGATTGGTTTTCCTTTGAATGTTATCTGTTTCTTCCCTCTTGTCAGCTTCATTATTTTTTCCTTGTCCTGGATTCTTGGGAGCTTTACTATTATGTGTCTTGCTGTGTTTTTCCTTTCGTCGTGGAAGTTTGGTGTTCTTCTTGCTTCTTGTATATCAATTTTCAGCTCCTTCTTCGCATTTGGGAAGTTCTCTTCAATTATCTCCTGGAATATTTTCTCTGTTCCTACATCTCTCTCCTCTCCTTCTGGAATTCCTATAACTCTTATATTTCCTTTCCTCATGGAGTCAGATAGTTCTCGAAGTCTTTCTTCATTCTTTTTCCTTCGTACTTCTCTTTCCTTTTCTGTTTTGGTTCTTTTTATTTCTGTGTCTTCAAGAGAACTTATTCGTTCTTCCATTTCATCTATTCTGCTTTCCTTGCTTTTCCCGGAGTTCTTTAGTTCCTCCATTAATTCTTTGATCTCCTGCATTTCTTTTACTTCCCTCTTTAGGGACTCAATTTCATTCTTCTGACCATTGTTTTCCCTCTTTAGGGACTCAATTTCCTTCTTCTGATCTATCACTTTTTTAATCATGGCAATTTTAAATTCTCTTTCTGGAAGGCTCAGAAGTTCTTCCAAGTTGCTGTCGTTGCAATCTGGGGAGTGGTTTTCTTTTTGTGGTGTGCTTCTTTCCTGAGGAGTTGTTAGGTTGCGTGTGGTTCTTCTACTCCCTACTGTCTGTTTTCTAATTTGTCGTATGCATTGGGACACTGTGATGCTCGGACTGACTGGCATCTTGGGTGAACTTCTCCGCTCCCCTCTGGCTCTTCCAGGAGCCATCTCTGCCTTCTGGGGGAGCTTTCTGCTGGTTTTAGGCAGTTTTTACTGAAGAAATGTCCCTGTTCTCAAATGGCGAAGCGGGATGCAGTCCCTGCGCCTCCGGTTTCAGGCACACTCTTCTGCGCACCCGGTCTGCCCCGGACGTGGGTGCCTGCTCCCTCTGTGGGCTCAGACTGCTGGTCGGAAGGGGCCTGGCGTGGAATAACTTCCCGGCTGGCCACTGCAGAAGCCTTCTGCCCTTTTCAAGCAGTCTTAAGAAATTTCCTGTTCTATGGGGTGTTAGTGACTTTTTTTTTCCTGGTCACTAGGTGGCGCCAGAGATCTCTCCTATTGTCCTTGGGGGGCTGTTTTTCATCCCCCCCACCCCGTGGGACAGGGAACAGAGTGGGAATGGTAGGGTACACCTCAACAGCTTTGGGGTGCTGTGTCTGCCTTGTGCCCCACCGTCGTGGAGAACCCACGCCCCGAATTTTCGTGCCCCGGGTCTCAGTTCAAAGCCCTCAGTTCCAGGACGTGGGCTGTAGCCCAGTTCAGTGGCGCAGGAATGGCGCCTTTTGCACTGCTCCCGTGCCCGGGTGCCTGGTTCCTGCTCACTCAGGGAGGTACCTTCACCTCAGTGAGGACCTCCGCGCGTCTCCCCGCAAGCCTAGGTCGTCTCCCCGCAAGCCTAGGTCGCAGGCGCGGGTACCTGGGCAGCCGCGATTCTGGTCTGCACTTGCTTTTCAAGCTCCCCGAGCGCGCTGCGTTTCGTTTCCGCGCAGGCTTACCGGCAGCCCGGGCTGTGTGCGCGTCTCCTGGGGTCTTTGTTCTTCTCTAATGGCGCCCGGAGCCGTTCGCTCGCCGCGGTGAATCCTGCAGGGTTCGCCTCAGCTCCCGTTCACGGGGTGTGGTGGCTGCAATAGTTCCTTTCCACTCACGGTCCCGCTTGCTGCGTAGTTTGTTCTTGTTGGCCATTTTGGTTTGTTGTTTCCCTCCTCTCTGCGGGTCGGAGAGTGCAGCCTCTGTGGGCGGGGGAGGGGAGCAGGGTTCTGCGCTTCCCTCCCTTCTGGTCCTCTTTTATGGCCACTTTCTTCTTCGGGTAGTTTGCTGGAGTCACCCGTTTATCTTCCGTGTCCCAGTTCTCACTGGGACCTGCCGCTTTTCCTCCCTATTAACTTTTTTTAATGGGAGATCTTACTCGCAGCGTCTCCTTGCCGCCATGTTGCTCCGCCCCCTCCTCTTGAACATGTTATTTATAAGTATTTAATTATTTTGATGTGATTACAAATGGAGTTGTTTTCTTGATTTATCTCTTTTCTAGCTTGTTTGCCTATGCAAAATCAACTGAGTTTTATAAATCTATTTTGTAACCTGCCACTCTATTGTACTGAGCTGTTATTTCAAGTAGTTTTTCTAGTGGAGTTTTTACAAATATTATCATGTGCTCTGCAAGTAATGACAGTTTAATTCTTCTTTCCCAATTTAGATTCCTTTTATGTAAATAGATTTTAAATTGAATGTCTTTTTTTCTTTAAATAAAGTTGAAAAGAAATGAAATATATTCATTTTTTGGTAGTGATAAGTCATTCAATTTTTTTTTTGAAAAGAGGGGTTTCTATTAAAAAAACCCTTTCTGGAAAAACTATTCTTAGTGTGGACAATTCACATAAAGCCTAATCATCATCAAAAACATCACAGCACATTAAAAAGAAATCAGCTTTTTCATTTAGAAAGATACAACTTCATCACTTATTATAAAACGATAAGCACATTATTTAGTCTTTTTCGAGCTGGTGGTACAAGGGGTTAAGACTCAACCTATGAAGCTATCCATAGCCACCGCAGCATGAGTTCGATCCCTGGCCAGGGAGCTAGCCACATGGAGCAGCAGACCTCTCCTGACTTGCCCACTGCTCCCCTCAGCAGTGTATTTCAGTCAGTCTGCCTGTTCTGTTCCCCACTCTGTCTCTGATGAATCCTCTCACCCTCTACACCTCTGACCTGTACCCCAGTTCTTGTATGCATAAATAAATCTTTAAAAAAACTAAAAAATGAAGAGTGTGAACAATAATCTTAACTTACAGGGCTGCTATGAAGTATTTTAAAAAGGTATAAAGTTCTCAGCATATTTGTAAGAAATATGTGAATCCATTTACTACCATTGTATTGTAAATATTAATAAGAGTTATCTTTCCGCTAAAATAATTTTTCTTGCTCTGGATATATTTCATCAGGAAAATTCAAATGAAGAAGAAAATAATGAAGAAAATGAAAACTCTGATGGAAATGAAGACGAAGACTCTGAGGCCGAGAACACCACCCTTTCTGCTACAACGCCTGACTATGGCGAGGACAGCACACCTGCATTAGTGACGCTAGGTCTTGCTGCAATACAGCTTCCCAAAAAGGTAGTAGTTCCTGCAAAATATTACATTTCAGTAATGAAGTCTGATGTTATCCTCTACTATAACCACAAATATTTTATGTTATCTACATTAACTCATGGATAAGCCAGAGCAGATGCAACTTCCCTCTTCACAAGTAGAATACACTTTTTTCCCCAGGCAAAGTATCTTCCTATGTTATCACACCGACTTTCTAAATTATAACAAAAGATTAAGGGCAAGCATCTTACCATTTGGTAAAAGCTTTTGAAAGATACCATTGTGTTTCAGGAAAGAAAGTTCTAAAACAAAGAAAAGTGAGTCGCAGATTTATAGGAAGCATCTGCCACAGAGGATGCTTACTTTTTAGGTATATTTTCCATCAAATTTCAATGATGAAGGTATTAATTCTGAAATTTGAAGACTCCCATCAATTCTTTCATAAGTTAAATTGACTTCATTTCAAAATTACTTCTAGAAAAAAGTTGTCAGTACAGGTGTGTTGGGTGAAATAAAGATCTTAGGTTTCTCATTTTTCATGCTAGATTTGGATTCTTTCAACTTTTTCTTTATAGGCTGAGCCTACTGGAAACAAGTCTACAAAAAAGGAAGAAAGTGATGAAGAAGATGAAGAGGAAGAGGAAGAAAATGAAAATGAAGAAAATGAAGCAGAAGTGGATGAAAACCAGCAAGGCATAAATGGTACCAGCACCAACAGCACAGATGTAGACAATGGAAATGGCAGCAGTGGTAGAGACAATGGTGAAGAAGATGGTGAAAAAGAAAGTGCCACAGAAGCGAATACAGAAGTAACCACGGTACCTGGAAAACAGGACAAAAGCATCTCTACAACAACAACTGCTCCAAATGGTGGGTTTGAAACTACAACCCCACCCCAGGAGGTCTACGGGACTACCACCCCCACATTAGGGGAAACCACCACCCCCGAGTATGAGGAGTATGAACAAACAGGCACCAGTGAATATGGATATGAAGTCTATGAAAATGAGAATGGAGAACCTCGTGGGGATAATTACAGAGCCTATGAGGATGAGTATAGCTACTATAAAGGGCAAGGATATGGTGGCTATGATGGTCAGGATTATTACTAACACCAGTGAAGGCCTAGCCTGGGAGGAACTCATCCATTCTGGCATTTTGTGTGGCTACCATTTTCAAAGTTCAACTCAGGAAGGCGCAATATAACAAATGTGCGTATTACCATGTGGAATGGTGCTACTGTTCCCAAGTGATTTTCTTTAATTGCTTCTGCAAGTAATGAGCTTCTTGTTGCTTTTCCATGGTATATTTTTGAATATATTTTTGAAAAGTCATTGTGAACTAGGGCCATTTAAAAATTGGTAAAGCAATCCACAAGATCGAGTTTGATTGAATGTTTTGAGGCTGTCATTCTATAACTAGTATTTTTAACTTTGCACTTTGCTGACTGTTATAGCATGCTCTTTGTGCAAGAAGTGCTTCTAAGGTGAGGTTCGTTGATATTAATGACACTATACAATATATGTGTAGTTCTTTACTACCTAGTCAACACTGTATAGTAGGCCTAATCATCATCCTCATGTGTTTTTATGTGATATGTATGTATATTCTCTCTATGGGTTTTATCACAAATAAAAATGCAATTCTACAAATGTGTTACTATTAAGAAAGAAAATAAGAGTTTCAGAATGGGAAAGGTTAGATCAGTAAGTGAACAATTCAGCTAAAGGACAAAAGCTTATTTCTAAAACTCTGGAATTACAGGTAGTTTCTTATGCATGAATCAGCACACCTAAAGTTTGACATGCTTGGGAAGGACAAACCATATACATTAGGAAAATAAAAGAGTTTTATTAGAATGGGAATTCTACATTAGAATGTGTTTTTACAAATTACAAATACATTAGAATGTATTTATTTTACAAAGAAAAATATAGGATGTCCAATGAAATTTTAATTTTAGATAAATAATGAATTTTTTTTTGTGTGTGTGTGTAAGTATATTCCATGGCCTATTTGCCCTAATGAAATATTTGGGACATACTTATACTAAATGATCTATTATTTCTCTGAAATTCAAGTTTAATCAAATAACCTATGTTATAGCTGATAACCTCATTCCTATCTGATTTGATTTTTGGGTGGGCTAGGAAGTGGGATGGGCCAAACCCTCCCTCCACATACACACACACACATACACATACACACACTCACACAAGAAGGTTGATGTGCAAAATCTTAACTGCAATTCCACTTTAATATAAACATAAAATAAAATTTCAAATGGGAAGTGTAAAGGAAAATTAATAGTGGGAATGAGTAAGAAAATAGGAGAAACTTTACCAAAATGGCAACAAGTGGCTTTCCTTCATTCTGAGAGGAACATATAACAATTAACTATCGGAACAGTACACCCAGAGATTTCTGTGACTTGACTCAAAATTGGAGCACCCCTGAGACTTTAGACACTCATATGGGCAAGGAGAAAGTAGATGCCAAGGAGATTCACGCTTAGTTGAACAGGAGCTGGGAAGAGAGAAATGCCTGGAGGTTGCGATCCAAGACAAGGGAACAGTAGGGGTCTCAGGCCTGCCAGAGGCCCTGGGAGGAGAAGTGAAACAAGGTGAAGAATCACACCCATGTAAGAGTGGGGGAGCTGGGGTGCTCTACTCACACCAGGTCACCAGTAAGGAGGGGAGACAGTGCTCTGGACTGTGCCTCACTACAGTGACCCCTTGGAACTGATACTGACTTCATGAAGCACACTGACAGCACACAGGCTACAAAATTTCAGATCTAAAAGCCCAGAGAGAGGAGATATAACTGGTGCCACAAACATGAACCAGCCCTCCTCATCTCTAGCACATTCACACCACTGTTCGGGCCCTTCTACCATCCTGCTGATTCATCAACTGCAGAAACAAAACAAAACAAAAGGTCTCAGTATCTACAAAAGCCAGCAAAGGCCAAAATTATAAAATCAGAGCAACTCAAAAAACAGGAGAGATCCCTGAAAAAAATTAAAAGTAGTTTTAAGTTACTGCTAGAGATTTTATTTTTAAAAATAGTTCACGTTAAAACAGCAATATGGGAAGATAAAACATGTAACACGTGGCACCTGGAGACCACAAGGGAATATGTCATCATAAGGAGAGAACAGCTCTCCAGAATCTAATGACAAAGTCATGAAAGATTATATCTCCCTATCAGATAGAGCTCAAAATTGCTATAATAAGCAAAATTAAAGAGAGAAAAGAAAACACAGAAAGCCAAGCCATAACAATACCAGATAATTCAGAAAAGCTAACAAAAGTGCTACAACAAAATTCAGAGGCAAAGATAAAGCTCAGAAATAAAATTAATGAACACAATGTAGAAGTGGGAAATTTAATATGCAAATAATAGATATTCTGGATGTTAAAAAGCTCAATAGGTAAGATCAAAAGTTCTAGAGGAACTATGGAATCAGAACAGACTAAATGGAGGATCAAATCAGTGAACTCAAAGATCATAATATACAAAAAGATGCATCTGGAAGAAGAGAAAGAAATGAGTTTTAAAAATTAAGAAAAACTGGGACTCCCTGGTGGTGCAGGCAGTTGAGCACAGCACTGTGAAGCTGTCAGCAGCCTCTTTAGTGCAGGTTTGATCCCGGCCAGCCAGGGAGATACCCACATGGCATGGCAGACCTCTCCTGTCTCATCCACTGCTCCCCTTGGCAGTGTATTTCAGTCAATGTGCCTGTTCTGTTCCCCATTCTGTCTCTGGTGAATCCTCTCACCCTCCCACACATCTGGCCTGTACTCCAGTTCTTGTATAAATAAATAAATCTTAAAAAAAAAAGAAGAAAAACTGAGAATTATCTGACTGTATTAAGAAAGACAACATAAGGATTATGGATATCCCAAAGGGAAATAGAGGGCTTATTCACAAAAATAATATAGAAAATCTTCTCAAATCTGGAGAAAGAACTGAACATAAAAGTCTAGGAAGAGTTAAATAGACACTTCTCCAAGAAAGATATACAGATGACCAATAAGCACATGAGAAAATGCTCATCATCATTTATCATCAGGATAATCTAATGTCAAGAAATATGAGTCACACTTTAAAAAAAAATCAACATTAATTAAATAGAAACCATGAGGGAATCCTTTAGACCTTTTTTTTTCTTATCCAAATGCCTTACAGTGAATATTTTCTACCCTTAGAGCATTAAGATACCCAGTGGATTTGAAATTCATTAACTTGATTTGTTCCTCTAAGAAAAAAATTTCCATGCAAATTGCATTCTGTTCTTTCTCAGGAGACTTTCCTACTTGCATTTCATGCCCAGGGTATAAGAAGATAAGATCTCCATCCGTGTCTACAGAATTTGTCTTATATCTTTTTAAAATGCAATTTCAAGCTTGATTATTTTAGTCAGGGGTCAGAAAACTGTAAGGCAGAAGTCAGCAAACTTTTCCTGTTAACAATCAGGTAGTAAATATTATTGGCTTTGTAGGCTCTGTAGTTTCTGTCACAACTACTCAAATCTGCCTTTGTGGCAAAAGCAGTCATAGCTGATATGCAAATAAATGGACAAGATATGTTCCAATAAAACTTTATTTCTGAAAAATAGGTGATGTGTCAAATTTGGCCCCCGGGCCATAGCTTGTTGAGTCCTACTTTAGATTACATAATTTTAGGTGATTGTATAAAGTCATGGATTGTTTAAAGTCATGGATTGTATAAAGTCATAGGTAGAAAGTCATAGCCATGGAGAACAGATTAACTTAAAATGTAGCTATTGCTAATAACTTAGAATGTAAACAAACTATCAATAAACTCACCACCTTTTTTTCTTTCTTCCCCCTTTTTCACAATTTGAAGCTTGGTTATTTGTTTCAAACTGTATTTCAAAAATACAGTAAAATTTCTCATATTTGATGTGAGTTGCCTCCTTTCTGCAGCAACTTAATATATGCTTCTGATAGTTCTTAGATCAAAATACATCAGGAAATATTATATTTGGTAAATAATATTTAAGGATAGTTTTTTTTTCACTACCCAAATTAACTTTAATTTTTTTTATACCAAGATTATTAGGTACGTTTTACTCTTTAGCCAGTTTTGGGAAACCTTTACCTTGATTCTAGCTGTAAAATAGTTACCTAAAATCAACAGCACAATAGAAACCATTTCTTACGCTGTGTAGGATGGGTTATCATCAAATTCAGTGCTGTGGTGGTTAATGTTATGTGTCAACCTGCCTGGATAAAGGGTATCCTGATTAGACATTATTCCTGGGGGTCTGTGAGGGTGTTTCCAGATAAGATTAGCATTTCCATCAGTGCACTCAGTACACTGTCCTCTCCAGTGTGAGTAGGCGTCATCTAGTCATTTCCAGCCAATGTTCAATTCATGCATTGCTATCAGGGGCTGTTTCAGGCACAGTGTATCCTCTGAAGATGAGTCCAACACCATTGCCCATTCTACAAGCTCTTCTGCAATGTGACATTGCCACTTTTCCATCAGGTGTGGAAACTATTTCCATACTTCTTTGAATGTGACGGATTTGAACAATATAATGACAATAACTTCATAATAGCTGCAGACTTAGCTCACAAAACTTTCTTCTCTGCTCTTGAGACCCTGGAACTAATGAAAAACAATGGGGGTGGCAGCTTGAAATAGAACAGAATATATTTTGTATGGAAACTTTCATTCTTAGATGAACAAATTCAGTGAGTTTTAATACATTTTTAATATACTGAGTATTTTAAGGTCTTAGCACCATGTAAGGAGTCTAGCCTATTGTGACAGAGAGAGAGGTTATGTACCATCTTGGATGTGCAGCCCGATTAAGTTTTCAGGTCATTCCTGCATCTGGCCTTCTCTGAAAATCCCAAATAAGAGATCCCAGGTGAGGAGATGAACTTAGTCAAGTGATTTCAAAAAGCCTTGGGAGAAAATAATCAATTGGTGTTTTACACCACAAAGTTTTAAGGTAGTCTGTCACATAGCAATTGGATTACTAGAATGGGAATTAATATCCATTGAAAAAATCTGGGTGCATGTAAATTAAGAAAGTCAAGAAATAAGAGCAAAGCAAAATGACAACACAATGCAGATAAACA